AACAACAAAAAAATTACCCCCATCCTGTCAGGCGAAGTCCAGTTATTTCGGTGAACCCAAACAAAAGCTCCTTGGCAGCTTCCCACAAACTTTAAGCTTGCGCAACACAAACAACGTTTACAAAACTCACAACAGCCGGCAAAAAGTTTATGAATCACGATTCTAAATTAAAAGTAGTTCATTTGGCACGTGTAGTTAGTTCATTCATGTTTTTTTTACGAAAAAAAGTTACGGGCTTCCGGGCAACGCGCGACCGCTCGCCTTGGAACGAATTTCGAAATGGTTCGAATTTTAAACGCGCGGTGACGCGTGGTAGTATGGCTAGCGTGTGGTGACGTCATTGTGAAACCGGTATTCGACCGAGAGGTTTTATTTATGTATTGCAGCGCTGAAGCGCTATGTGGGTTTATTTATTTATTTCCATAAAACCACGCTAATATGTAGATAATCGGAAAATCGACTTAGGCTGATGAAATAAGCATCTAAATTGCCACATTATTATAGAAACCTTGATAAAATAGGTACATGGTTGGAAAAGTTGGTTGATAGGATTTAATTATTTTTGACGTACACATGACCGGAAATTAAAGAAATTCTTTCTTTTCCGGATCCGGTCAACATTTTATTTTATTTTTTATTGTTAAGGATACGGACTGTAAGCAAGAGCACACGCTATTATGATAAAAGTTGAAACTGTTGAAAGTTCCGTCCAAGGTTCTAAATGAAATTATTAAACATTCTAACTAAAGCTTCAGAAATGTGGTAATTTTTATTTATTTTAAGTAGGGCAACCACGGATATTGAGGGCAACGTATGTTCAAAATGATGTATTAAAATTATATTTTTTGCAGCGCTTCAATCGCTGAATTGTGAACTACCACGGAGGTGTGTGTGGGGCTCGCCGTGACGTCAAGCGCCGTGTGCGTGAAAGGCCATTATAACTTGGTCTCCGCTATCACGTACCTAATATACGGGACTATTCCCACCTCTCGTTCCCACCGTTGCAACTCCTGTGTAGCCAGGATCTACAGCTTGACCGCCAATAACCCAACCAGTGAAGGCAAGTTTGTCCCGGGGGAAAGTTAAACTGTCATTGGACCCGCAACGGAATTAATCAGAAATATCACGTACTTTATAGTATCATTTCAGCCACAGGACGTCCATTGCTGAACAACATAAGCCTCTCCAATGACTTCCATATTGACCGGCTGGTAGCGGCCTGCCAGTGCCGTAACTAGGGCGGTGCCAGCGGTGCCCAGGCACAGGGCGCAGACCCTGGAGGGGCGCAAAAATTACCAGACCAGTATCTAGTTTTTTTCATGCACGCTCTGCTTTATTTCGGATATCCGAAATTTCGGTTACGGTTACGGATATCTGTGCTTTAGAATGCAATTTGCAATAGTTGTCCAACACGGTTCATTCATGGCCGCACACTTTTCATCGAATAAAAAGTAAAAAAAAATTGCTACTGCATTTAAAGGTAAGTAAATCAGGCTGTTATGCCTTTACATAATGCTATCCAAAAAAAAGCTGCTACATCCGAAACTATCCGAAACTTTTGAATCGGTTACGGTTACGGATATTTTTTTAATTCGGATATCCGAAAATTTCGGTTACAGTTACGGATATCCATAACATCCCTGGTCGACACGACAAGAAGAAGAATGTAAGATGGTGTACTTAACCCAGCTTAAATTAGTATACCTATCATATTGGGGCAAATATACTTACTTTTCTACTTACTTCCTTACACCAAGACAGCTCTGTGTATTCTGGCCGATGTGTGGAGGACATTGAATCTTGTTTACACTTGGAAATTCTTTCGCAGAGAATGTGGCGTCTTTTTATCGGCTTGCGTCGTTGTTTGCGTTTGCTGTTACAGTTTAGATATAGATTTAGGTATGTAATTTATTACCCAAGTATGTACCTAGTTGCCGAGTCACAGTTGTTTTTAACGGATCTACGTTACAGAGTTTTAAGATAAAAAATAAGCCTACTTAGTTATTTAATTTTTAGCGTAAGGGTTGCATCTCTATACTAACTATAAATGTAAATTATTATTATAACTTGATTATAACTCGAAAAAATCGAATTCCATCCAGTGTCTACGTAAGCTCAGATGGTTCCTTGTGGTTTTGATTCTGATAATTTGACACACAATCCCCAGGGTACGGAACCCTGATCATCGGTGGGTCTGATCCCCGATGATCTGATTTCTGATGGGTATGGTCCGGGGGTGTGAGTCCTGGGACTTCTGGGGAGTCTGTCCCTGATCCCAAGTGTCTGATATCCAATCCCCGATTTCTGGAGTGCCTATTCCCGGGTGGTCTGATCACCGGGGATCCGATCTCTGATCATCTGACGATAATCTGATCCCGATATCCGGTAGGTTTTATCCCTGAAGACTATGATACACTCAGGGCCGGATTAACCATCTCGGGGCCCCTAGGCACAGCTCGTTTTGGGCCCCCCTTTTTTTTGTCGCGGAAGAAATGCTTTGCGCACCGTCACCACTGCCGGGGGACAGGGTGGTGTGTGGGACTCCCGGCGCCCTAAAAAGGGAAAAGGACGGGGTATACCCACTAAAACCTCCGTGGCGTTCCGTCGTAGCCCGAGTGGGGGTGTCGCGAGTATACAGCCGTAGCCTTAGACTTCCGCGACACCACGCTACAGCGACAGCTCGCCTACACGGCGGACCCTACACGCCCCCCTTGTGGGAGTCCGACGGGAATGCCCGAAACGCCAAGCCGTTCCCGTCAAACGAAGGTGACAAGGGTGCCCCCGCACCGGCCTGCTGGCCGCCACCTGGGGGCAGAGTATAACGGTCGTACAACCGCCTTCTCCGGCCCCTTCTCCACCTGCGGAGCGATGGGGCGAGAGAATCGTTCTCCCGCTCGCGCTCCGCTGCCTCCTTCTGAAGGATAACCTCTTCGCAAAAGGAGGCGACCACCTTCCAACATCCTTCACTTCCCAGCATGGCGATGACCAGGCTCGGAAGCGAAAGATCCCGGCCCACGACCGCAGTGAGGACACGGCGCTGCTCCTCCCAGCCTGTGCAGACCGCGAGGGTGTGCTGCACCGTGTCATCCGCCGCGCCACATTTGTGGCACACGGGGATTCCTCTCGCCCGATTCTTTGCAGGTACGAACCGAAGCATCCATACTCGGTCAGCACCTGCGCCAGACGGAACGTGAGGAACCCGTGCGGTCGTTCCAACCATTGGTCCAGAACAGGACCAATGGCGGCCAAACTGCGCGCGAGTCATGTCTTCATGACGGCGCCGCACCGCTCCGGGGCCGGACGCTTTCCACGCGCCTTCTGGTCTGCCATCCAGTGATAGATGATAGACAAGACGTCAACGCGTTGGGAGGGGCGCGCTGGCCGCCCGCCGACGCCAGCCGTGCCGCGGCCCGAAATGTCTTCCCCGGGCAGTGACCAGAGTGTCATCCGCATAGCATGTGACACTCATGCCCGCGAGAAGGACGCCCCGGAGGAGCCAGTTGAAGCCTAGGTTCCACAAGAGTGGATCGAGCACCGAACCCTGCGGAACCCCGCTGGCTACACCGCGCCGTTTGAGCTGGCCGTCTCTGTTAACATACAGGACTTCGCGGTCCCGTAAGTAATCGGCCAGCAGCGCTCAAAGGTACTGAGGCACTCTGTGATGTTGAAGTGCCTAGAGTATTGAAAGCGTTGGCTATATCGAATGATACAGCCAACACACCCTCAGCCCTCTCCCTAGCCTCCGCAGTGAGGCTTTTTAGCCTCTGAAGGGCGTCGACCGTCGACCTGTCATGTAAACCAAAGCAGTAATGCCAACGTCACGAAAATTAATTAGGTTCCACAATATCTAAATATGACGATTGAATTTGTAAACCAAAATAAGGCGAAGTTTTAAGGTGGTTTGAGTTTTGTTGCATAAAAATAATCTTTAAAATTCTTTTTTCATTTTTTTATCGGGAGTGCTGGGCCCCTGGTCATAGTGGGCCCCTGGCCATAGTGGGCCCCTAGGCACTGGCCTAAAGTGCCTTATGGATAATACGGCACTGGATACACTAGGTTTTAAATGAAACTCTGTAGCTGTAGGTAGGTACATTTATTTATTCTCTCTACTTCGCGTTCCGTTTCATCTTTAAGTGCACGTGTGCAACGTGGTTGCGCATCGCGTGTTTCTGCGTGAAGCGCGCAGAGCAGTGCGCGCATTCGTAAGGACGCTCGCCCGTGTGGGTCATAATGTTGGTGTATTAAGTAAGTAATTAAGCTTAAGGGGTTCCCTAAAGCCGCACTCCGTCCCTAAAACAGACTCTAGGAACTTCCTAGAGAGGATCTGATCCCCGATGCCTTATTCCTGGGGATCAAATCACTGTTCCCAGCGAGTCTCATTACTGAAATTCGGATTTTTTTATTCTGCTCCTTGATCCCCGATGTCTTACTCCTGAGGGTCTGGTCGCTGATCCCCCAGGTCTAATGATCTGATCCCTTGGGACTTGATCTCCGATGTATCTGAACCCTGATCCCCGGAGTGCCTAATTCGTAGGAGGTTCAAAATGAAAGTCTTTTAGATTCATAGCTACGTATTTATTACTACTTCACGTTCCGTTTCATTTTGAGGCGACTTTATCCAATCCGGAGTGTCTGATACCTGGAGTCTGATCTTTGATCCCCTGGGTATCTCATCCCTTATCTTAGTGGATTTGAACCCTGATCCCGCTGGTCTCTGATCCCCGGGGGTCTGTTTGAAGCTCAGATCATAGATTGGGCTTATTCCACTATTCCCCGTTGACAATTGGGAGCTTATAATGGGGAATAATGAACTAAAAAGTTCATTAATAATCCCCGTTAATATTAGGATTTTATTTTTAACGTAATGGGGATTAATTAACTTTTTAGTTCATTATTCCCCATTATAAGCTCCAATTGGCGTTAACGGGGAATAGTGAACAAAAAGTTCACTAATCCCCGTTGACGGGGATTATCAACGGGGAATAGTGGAATAAGCTGGTTTTTGGGAGTTCAAATTAAACTCTTTTTTTTAGGTTAGAAGATAATGTATTTATTTCCTCTACTTCACGTTCCGTTTCATCTTTAAGTGCACGTGTGCCACGTGATTACGCATCGCGTGTTTCTGCGTGAAGCGTGCGGAGCAGTGCCCGCATTCGTAAGGACGCTCGCCCGTGTGCGTGCGAATGTGATGGATGAGGATCTTGTTTGTCTGTGGACAAATACATTTCTATACTAATATACAGGGTGTTACTATTAAAACCCTAATAATTATTACGTATTTTTGACGGTCCTAAGCCCGTAAAGTAGAAAGAAAAATCTGAAATCAACTGAAGAGTATTTTAAAATAATTATTATGACTGGATAAAAAGGCTTGTACCCAGAGCCATAATAGGCCACGCCCACTAGGTTTATTCCAATTGCACCTTTAGAACGTGCGAGACAAAATTGGTTTATTCCAATTTGTACTGCAAAACCAAATTTACTAAAAACTTAGTGTACTTTCTTTATGGGAGTGTCTTGTTTATCTTAAATAACAGGTATTGTTCCCTACTTTTATCTCTGTGAATATGGCAAGAATGCAAAGTAACACGGTGTATAAAGAGGTAAAGTTTGTATGTTTGTATACTTGTTAAATTGTAAGGGGTAATCTCGGGATCTGCTGAACCGATTTTAAAAATTCTTTCACCAATAGAAAGCCACATTGTTGCTGAGTGTCATAGGTTATATAAAAAACCGAAAAATTCCACGCGGGCGAAGCCGCGGGCGGAAAGCTAGTCCTGTATAAAATGCAATTCGTTTCGAAGACCTAATAGAAGTCGAAGGCTTTGCTTAGTTGTTAATTGGGACTAGAAGCGTAGTGTAAAATGTCCAAGGATTTATTATTTATTTATTACTAGCTTTCCGCCCGCGACTTCGCCCGCGTGGAATTTTGTCTGTCACAGAAAAACTTTATCGCGCGCGTCCCTGTTTCAAAAACCGGGATAAAAACTATCTTATGTCCTTTCCCGGGACTCTAACTATCTCTATGCCAAATTTCATCCAAATCGGTTCAGTGGTATAGACGTGAAAGCAAGACAGACAGACAGATATACTTTCGTATTTATAATGTTAGTATAAAGCCTGGTCCGCGAGCACGTAGAATTTTGTCCAATGACCCCAAGCTACCCATCCTTATCGCTCGCGCGTAATTATATTGCTGTCGCGACTGTGCGACGGGCGCCCGCAGTGAGTGTGCGAGCGCGACAGCAACATAATTACGCGCGAGCGATAAGGATGGGTAGCTTGGGGTCATTGGACAAAATTCTACGTGCTCACAGACCAGACTATAGATACTTACAGAAAAGCCCCTGCCGCAGACGGTACATAGTTTATTCTTCTCTTTCTTTACACCCTCGTGGTTGTATTTCATATGATTTACATATTTCGTGCGGTTTAAAAATTGCTAGAAAAGAAAATTTTACGTCAAAACTTAGAACAATTTCGTATTTTCTACGTATAAAGCACTAAGCAGGGATGTTATGGATATCCGTAACCGTAACGGAAACTTTCGGATATTCGAAATAAAAAAAATATCCGAAACCGTAACCGATTCAAAAGTTTGGGATTGTTTCGGATGTAGACAGTTTAAATTGTTTTTATTATGTAAAGGCATACACCACCAGTATGTGGCGACCACGGGCTGGAAAACGTAGCGTGGGCAGGCCTCCTACTAGGTGGACCGACGATCTGGTAAGGGTCGCGGGAAGAGCCTGGATGCGGGCAGCGCAGGACCGTTCATTGTGGAAAACCTTGGGGGAGGCCTTTGTCCAGCAGTGGACGTCATTTGGCTGAAACGATGTAAAGGCATAACAGCCTGATTTAACTTTATAATGCCATCTATCAATTTTTATTTTTTTATTACTTTTTATTCGATGTAAAGTGTGCGGCCATGAAAGAACCGTGTTGTATAACTATTGCAAATTGCATTCTTAAGCACAGATATCCGTAACCGTAACCGAAACTTGCGAATATCCGAAATTAAAATACCCGTACCCGTAACCGAAACCGGTATAATATTATTCCTATACTTATTCGTAACCGTATCCATAATAGAGGTGGGCGCCGATATAAAATTGGCCGGCGGCGGCGCGCCGACTTTTTGACCTCGGCGGCGGCGGCGTCGGCGGCGTGACCTTGTTTGACCTTTGTTCATTAGGTTTTTTTTTTATCCGGTTTTTTTTTATCTGTCGTCAAGACTAATCAGGAGATTTGCAGTTGGTTGGGGTTTGAGCCACTAGAGCAATGGTGTACCCTAGTAAATTAGCTCTCTTGATCATAGATAGGTACTTTGATATTTGGATAGCGGGTTTGGCTGAGATCAGGTTCTCGTGTACTTCCTAAAGGCGAGCGTAACAATGTGCCGATAAAAGTACCTTTAACATGTATTTTTGAGCTCTTTGGAGGCACAGTTAATGTTGGATTAGCTGACTGTCGGTGGAATATTATATTCAGTTCTGTTTTATTTATATTTATGGTCTTTCCATGTCATCCTACGGTCCAGGATTTTAAAGCAGGTTGATTACAGCAATGTGTCGAGGTCTAGATTGGCCGGAGGATAAGTTTCACGTCTTAAATGATAATATGGTGAGACTTCGGGGCTTAATTACATGCGCCACTTGGTCAGCCAAGCAGCTGACTTTGCAACAGTCTAGTTACTTTAAGATCACAGTTACATTTGAGGAATGCCGCAGCTTTCTGGTGTCTGGGCTACTTTACTAGTAGATGTTATAGATAGAGTATCGGACCAAGTACAGAGTCCTGGGGTACTCCAGCTCTGCAGCTAAAAAAAGAGAAGATTTTGTCACCGAGTTTGATTTAAAACTGTCTGTCACTGATATAAGAATCCACCAGCAGGTAGTAGAAGTGTGCTGGAAGGCACTTTTTAATTTCATAGAGTAGTCCTTTATGATAAACCAGGGTTCGAGAATATCGGNCTTCGACAAATACATTAACACACCGTGAACCACTTTTCTTTCATGACTATAAAAATATTTTAGCAATTTAATTCACAAAATCAATTGCACACATTTAAAATAAAGTTTGTTTACACTTTGACAACAATAGACTGACATGCAAGGTGACATATCCATGAAGTTTTCAGTTACTGTTGCCATTAAAAGAAATTAGTACCATTAGTTTTCCGCAACATGGCGAGGGTTTTTATGTTCCTGGTCAGGCTATATAACACAAATGTGGTTTTATGTTTATACAAGAAGAAATAAAAAAGTACACATAAAAATCGTATGGATTTTAACTACAACACCTATCAAATTCTTCACAGCAAGATAGCTTTAACTTAGCAGCAACAGTAAAACTGATGCATTTTGAATGATAATTTTTATAAATTTCATAAATTTGTGTCAAACGGAACGATGGTCCTGTCATTCACTGTCAGTTTTCCCAAAAAAAAAAGTGTCAAGGTTTTTATTTTGGCAAAAATGTCTGTGATATTTCAAACAGTAATAAACACTGGAAAAGTTTATTCCTTTAATAAATCTCTACGTGCCTCCTTAACTTCTTGCAAATGTCTAGCTGTGAGGAAATACTCAGGTGTCTTTTCGTTTAAATCTCTTGATATTATGTTGTTATGAATGAATTTTATAGGTTATGTGTTGGATTTTAGATGTGAAGAAATTTACATCTTTTGACGATATTGTGGCTCAGAGAAGAGCAGAGGCGAGGCGGAGCCTTGTAGTTCAAGTTAACTCAGAATCTTCATACGGTGAATTGTACGGTTACTGTTCAAAATATGCTGAAATCAATGGTGTTCATCATTACAAAAATGCAGGAGGAGAGGTAGGTTTGTTTGTATGTGAAGGTTTTTAAAGTTCCAGAATAATACTTTCCAAGAAAATGTGCCTTAGTCCAGCAGTGGACCTCACTTGACTGAAACTGTCCAGTTTTTTTTTAATAAATGTTTTAATTTCAGCATTTTATGCTTATTGAATTTGGTTCAGAAGAGAACCTCAAGAATGTTATCCAAAACTGCAGCTCTCACCAAAAGGACATTGAAGTTATGGCCTCAAACTCCCCTTTTCTATGGTTCCGAGCAGCTCCAGGCAAGAAGGAAAAGTTATCAATTCCTTCAAAAGCCCTCATAATCAAAGATGGTAATGCACCTCCTAATGAGGAAGCACTCTCTGAGGAGCTATTGAAGTGTTCCACTGTATCTGAACAAATACAACTGTTGTATGATAGAACAAAACTGAATGATCTGGGAGTTCGGTTACGGTTCATGGTTGCTAGGCAGGTTAGTTTTATATTTCTCAACATTGTTTACTTACTGACTTCAATATTTCTCTTGCTTATATCTGAAAACAAATTAAAATTATAACTGCTATGGTTATTTATTAGAATTATATTGTTTTCAGTTAGAAGTCATATTTGAGAGCCTGTATGCCAACATAGCAGTGAGGCCATTTGGTTCCTCAGTGAATGGGTTTGGCAAGATGGGGTGTGACTTGGATTTAGTTTTGACCAATGTGGTGACCAAAGAAATGGTAAGAACTATTGTTATAATTACACATTGTGTAATTTTAGAGTGAATAAGGTACAAACACAATAAATATATCATCTTTTTAGTTAATATAATTATTTTTCTTTTTAAAAAGGCTCTGGCTAAGCATTTTTTTTTCTTATGCATTTATCTTACATAGGTCCAGATTAATGTATTTTATTGCAGCTCCATTTATTCTCACAATATTCACAATCCCTAAATATTATATCAGCCAACTTAATGGATTTGTGGGAGGGCGGGCGGTGCTTGTTGTTTTTGCTTGTACGGCGTCAGTCGGCGTCACTAAGCGGATATTTTAAGCTAAGTAATTTTATTTTTTTTATTCGGTCAATTCTCCAGAGCGACGGCAACAAAAGACTGGTGTTTCAAGAGAAGCGCTGCGAGGGCGGGCGCGGCGCCTGGCAGCGGCAGCTGGAGCTCGCGGCCGAGTTGTTGGAGCTCCGAGCAGCTGGAGCCACGCGCGTCACGCGCATACTGCACGCGCGCGTTCCGATCGTCAAGTACGCGCACGAGCTCACCGGCGTCGACTGCGACCTGTGCTACAGCAACACGTGAGTATGCTATGAACCCCTCTGAGAGGCCACAAAGGTGTGTTGCGGCGTAATACATTAAAGGCTTCCATAGACCAAACGCGGGTCAGAAGCAGTGCGGGTCAGTTGCAACGCGGGCGGTTGTCAAAAATTTAAATATTCGAAAACAGCTTTCAACGCGCTGCTACCGCCCTGCGTCCGGTGTGTCATGCTAATATGGCCGCCATAGTAAAAATACAACAGCGCGGGCCGCTTCTGTCCCGCACCCGCGGCGCCGCCTCGTTTGTATTTCGGCAGTTGCAGTGCGGCGCGGTTGGAGCGCGGGCCCGCGTTCTAATTTGGTGTACCATACTTTAAAGAGTTTCTTGTATTACAACTTGCGCGGGCCCGCATTCAAACTGCGCTGCTACTGCCCTGCGTTTGGATGCCCAAGGCTTAAATATCTATGATAAATTACATGGTACCACACGCTCGCGAGGGCGGAGGCTGTATACGGCGGAACAAGACCGTCTCCGACGTCGCAGAGTGCTGTTGACGAAGTTCTAAGACTGAACAGACTTGCGGCGTCGCAAAGATACCGTAAGGCCCGGTTTCCACCAGGGTGGAGTAGATGGAAGAAGCGCTTTGATAACATGCGATTCAGATTACATTATTTATACTTCTCGTCTCCACTCAGCTCGCTTCGCGTCACGACGCCGCCGCTGTCAAATTCTATAGAAAAATTTGACAGACCGACACTTCTTTGCTCTGCTCCACTTCGACTATGGCTCCGCTCCGCCTTGGTGGAAACTTGGGAATTACGTTTTTATCAAAATAGACAAGAAAAAGAGATGTTTGAATTACCAATTAGATTTCGTTATGTTTCCTGTCTGCTTCAGTAAAAACCGGACCTAACACTAAGCCTAGGCGCAGACTACCGATTTTTAGTTGACCGATAGTTAGGCCCGATTCTAATTTGTATGAAGAATCGGCCGATATCAAATCGGTGTAATGTGCGCACTTTCATAAATGTCTGATACTGATTAACAGCCCGACCCAACTATCGGCCGACAACTTTGTCGGAATTCTGTAGTCTGCGGCCAGGCTTAGCGCTCCTGCACACGACGCTGTCGCCGCGCCGCCCCCGCGCCTTTGCACTGTCTAAACGCGCCGCGTGAAGCCCGCTGCCGCGCCGCCGCCGCGACGTCAAAGTCGGACCGGTGAAATTAAGCTTTGACGGCGCGGTGGCGGCGTCGTGTGCAGGAGCGCTAATGCAAGCGTAATCTGTGGCTTGTCCCTAACGCTTCTGGTCTCCCAGGTCGGGCGTATACATGTCAGAGCTGCTATGGGCCCTGGGCTCGCTGGACGAGCGCGTGCGGCCGCTGGCGGCGCTGGTGCGGCGCTGGGCGGCGGCAGCAGGGCTGACGAGCGCGCACCCGGGCCGCTGGGTCACCAGCTTCCCGCTCACGCTCATGGTGCTGTTCTTCCTGCAGCAAGACACCGGCGCCGGCGCCGTCCTGCCCACCGTGAAGCACCTCGTCCAGGTCGCCGGTCAGTGAAACGCAAGTTTTTTTTTTCTTTATTGGCACGGAAACGTATGACGTGGTCGACCCAGGCAAACTTGGCGGCGCACTGTAGCGGACGAGGCGAAGAAGATCGGCAAGACCTGGAGCGAGATCAAGCGAGAAGCTCAAGACCGAACGAGATGGAGGACTGTTGTGGACGCCCTCTGCCCCATCTAGGGGACATAGGACCATAAGTCAAGTAAGTCACGGGAACGTATGAAAATGGAATCAAAAAAACATACTTACTAAACAATGGGGGGTGGAATTGTTAAAAAAATATAAATTTAACTATACAATAATAAATTAGATTAAAAAACTTTCATTATGCGTAAACCCTGCACTTACAACTTATTTTCTGAGGTCGTCTAGAAATAAATATAATTCACATATTTTAACAAAAATATACCCACCGTGAAGCACCTCGCCGGTCAGTGAAACTCGATTTTGTTTTTTTTTTCTTTATTGGCACGGAAACGTATCAAAATGGAATCAAAAATATACTTACTCACTAAACAATGGGGGATGGAATTGTTAAAAAATATAAATTAAACTGTACAATAATAAAAAATTAGATTCAAAAACTTTCAAACCCTGCACTTACAACTTATTTTCTGAAGTCATCTAGAAATAAATATAATTCACATATTTTAACAAAAAAATAAATACATAAATAATCACATTGACGAGGACAGCTATTAAAGTTAATTACAATAGGTCCTCTACAGGGCACTTATACACGTCCTGTATAGTCTGCCCTGCCGCCACTTCGAGGAATCATATCGGCCGGTGCTGAGAAGAAGTGGAGTAAGAAACTCAGCACCTTTTCAGCCTTTTAATTATGATATTAATAAATATTTTATAGTATAAAAACAACAACGTAGCAGCGCGGCCGAAATGTATGGTGCGCCTTAAATTTCGACCACACTCCTGCGTTGTCGCGTACTTCAGATAGATATTTAAGTAGCTCCATAAAAGGTCTTGGAACTGCGTAAATAGCTAACTAAAGATTAAATACATAAAGCCCGGTCCGTGAGCACGTAGAATTTTGTCCAATGACCCCTAGCTACCCATCCATATGGCTCGCGCGTAATTATATTGCTGTCGCGACTGTGCGACTGGCACCCGCAGTGAGTGTGGGAGCGCGATAGCAACATAATTACGCGCGAGCAATAAGGATGGGTAGCTTGGGGTCATTGGACAAAATTCTACGTGCTCACGGACCAGACTATAGATTACATTAAACATACATACGAGTACATAACCTACATCACGAGCATTCACTGCAATATTTGGGTAAAGTAATGTTGATGGTAATAAAGTTCACCACTTTACAGGCAAGGAGGACATTCGAGTCGCCGAGGAGAACCTGAACTGCACGTTCCTCCGCGACATGAACAAGCTGGCCCCAGAGCGTTACGGCCAGAGCCAAGACAGCCTGGAGACGCTGCTCCTCAAGTTCTTCGAGTTCTACGCTCAGTTCGACTTCCAGGAGAAAGCCATCTCCATCAACGAGGGAACCGCTATCCGGAAACCGAACGCCCTCCCGTTGTACATAGTCAATCCTCTAGAGCAATCCTTGAACGTGAGCAGGAACGTCAGCTACGAGGAGTGCCAGAGGTTGCAGGCCGAAGTCAGGAACGCCGCGTGGCAGCTGGAAGCGGGCTTAGAAGGACAGAAATCGGACGATTGGGGTATCGTGGGCCTCATCGAAAGGAAGGCGTCGAGAGGGTTGAAGAAGTTACTCCGAGTGGGAAACTCGCACAGACTGGTGTCCGTGAAGGACCTATTTAAGGATGACGAAAACGTAGAATCTGAAGACGGACTCAGAAGTAAACTTCAAAGACTGACGCAGAAGAGTGAGACGGAGCAGGAAGACGGAGTGAGAGAGATGAAAAAAGAGTTGGAGAGCAAACTGGATAGGAAAGTAAAGAATGAACCGCTGAAGTTCAAAAATAGGCAGGTGGCGAGTGAAGTGTTGCGAATACGGAGAAATAAGTTGTTATAGTTAATTTGTGTGGAGCCCGTATTTAGAATGGTGCGCGTGAGTTGATTGAGGAAATGCGATTGGACGTCGGGGCCTGTTCAAGACTTTAACCTATTGATAAATTATGACGATTAGCATCAATTTTTGCTATTACCTATTCCACTGCCTGAGTACATCGCGTACTTTAATCCTATCATCCAGAATTATAAATTGTACTGTTAGTTCAACTAAATTACATATTAATGAGTGAATGTGACGTTTGTAAATTGTACAGTCTATACTTACTTAGGTAAATATTAGTTTTGTTGAGGTTTTGTTTGATACTGTATGTAAATGACATTCTTGTAGTGCGTAAAAGCTGCGAATAAACGTTCATAATGTTCTTATCTCTATTGATTTAATAAATTTCAACACCCATAATAAATAACAAGATTACCTGAACTTCTAAGCCATCAATATAACACCGGAACGAACGATCGCGATTCCTTAGACCGGTTCGCCGCGTAGTTTCTTGAGGAATACTTCGATTTTGGGGTTTTCGACTGCGTTTCTGTAGGGGGATCGTTGGTTGTCGAGCAGCTTCTCGAAGGCGCGCAGGTTGGCGCAGCACATGGCTTCGAGTGTGGGCCGGTAGAGCGCGTCGGCGAGCACGCGGCGCACGAATTCGAGCGCGCTCGGCTCGCCGCCGCATGTGCGCAGAATCTTGTCGGCGCACGCGGTGCTCCACACGCACTCCTCCAGGAATACGTTGTACCTCTCGTTTTGATCGAACACGCGACACTGTAACAAATAAAAAACAGTTTAAGACACTACACACGAAGACGTGTGCTGTCAGTTTATTTTTTTATAATGTAGAAGAGTTTAGTAGGCACCATGTTAGATGCCTTCTTCTTCTCTGTCGGTACACTCTTGTCAGAGTGGTCGTGGTCATCATTTTGAATCACGATTCAGAGTGATGTTCCTCTTAATACGGCGCCATTCCTCAGATGCTTACGGTTAGATGCCTTATGGACCGGAAAACGTAGTGCAGGCTGACCTCGCAACTAGGTGGAGGACCGATCTAACTACGTGGTGGTGATTCTGATGAAGGTCATCGCGGTGAGCGATGCAAGACCAGGGTAGCGTACACCGGTCGTCGTGGATCCACGGGATGTCGTTTGTCAAGCAACGAACAGCATTCGGTTGTATAGATAGTGTCATCCACGAAGACGCGAATGTTTGAGTGTTATCGGTACACACTAAATTATTCATGAGTGCACATGCACACTACAATAATGACGCTCGGATCAAACTCCCCGCACTTCCCTCCACCAAAAGTTGGTGGGGCGCGTCTTCGTGGATGGCACGAGCTATGAGATCACTATCTATTAATGTCACCTAAAAAAAAATCCCTAGTTTTTAGTGGTCAATGCTGGCCGACGGCACCGACACACGCCATTATGACCCGTTCAGCACTACAATTAACGCTCGTTTTTCTATGACGCCCGACCGCTGCTCCGTTGAATGGTCGGACAAGTGATATTGTCGGTGTTGACGGTAGACAGCAAAAATGTTCACCGTTTGTTTTTTGTTTTTATATTGGTTAAGGTAACAAGTGTAAATGTTAATGTATGTTTTAAGTTCAATAAATTATTTGTATTTGTATATCAAGTCTCACCTCATCTCCGATGTCGTCAGTGACGCAGACCTCGGACTTGAAGTCCATGAGCGCGAGCATGACCAGCATAGCCGGCGGCTGCTCGTCCAGCATTGCCCGCAGCATCTCGGATGCTCGCGCTGGTATAACGGGCGTCGGCGAGCCCGGGCCGGACTCCCTATCTGTAACAATTTTATTCTCACCTCATCGCCGATGTCGTCCGTGACGCAGACCTCGGACTTGAAGTCCATGAGCGCGAGCATGACCAGCATAGCCGGCGGCTGCTCGTCCAGCATTGCCCGCAGCATCTCGGCGGCTCGCGCTGGTATAACGCGCGTCGGCGAGCCCGGGCCGGCGGGCGCGGCGACGGCGGCGACGACGTTGGACGCCGCGTAGCGGATGCTCTGCTCGTCGTCTTCGAGCAGCGTGACCAGCATGCCGAAGATCAGCGACTTGAACTCGACTGCGGAGTTGACAGTTTTTTTTTATTTGCATTTTTGATATAGTTGTTTTTGTGATCTTTACGTGTGTGGTGGCTCGTTAGGCGGTTATCACACTGCACCGCGCTCCGCCGCGGAGCGCGGGGCGACAGATTTAATCATTGTATGCAAGTACCTCAGTTTGTATAGAAAACACGCGCGGCACTTCACACTGACAACGCGTCCGCGCGCGTGATTTTTTATATGAAAATCACGCGCTCCGCGGTGGAGCGCGGCGCAGTGTGATAACCGCCTTACTGTTCGTTTTGCAAGTTTTGATAGACATTACATTATTGTTATGTGCATGTACACGTACACACACGAGTGAACTCACTCGCCTTCGTGAGTTGTGAGAACTATACTATCTTAACAGATTATGTATTTAGTTCTAAGGCACGATTTGGCAAACAGTCTGATGAAATGCATGGACGACGACACTTATGGAAAAAACTGTGCCATCACGTGGTTGTAATCAACAAAAATATGTAGACTGATGTCACTGCATCAAATGATTTTTTTATACAGACACGAAAGCTACCTATACGATTATACGAGTTTGTAATAATAATACTCACATCTTTCTTTCTCATTGATGCTTCCCAAATCCATTTTCAGCAGTTTTTCGCAATTAGCTGTCATAAATTCGGCGACCTCCTGCCGCGTGCAGTCGCTGTTGTCCGACGTACTACAGGAGTGGATGACGCGCAGCACCTCTAACACGATCTCTGGGAATATCTTCGACTGCTGCAACTTCGTCGACACGAAACCGCACAGGCTCTTCAAGTAAATGTGAGTCAGATTCTCGTGCTCATTCTGAATGCAGTCGAACAGCTTCCAAATGATTTCCTCGTCCGTGATGTATTTGACGCGCTTGCCGCCCATTTTGATCCCGACGATGTGCTTCTGCGTGTTCTTTTCCAAACTCAACACTTTCAAAGCCTTCTGGTTGCACTCCGGGTATTTGCTGGTCTCGAATATCTTGCACAGTTTCTGGATGTAGTCGGACCTCCTTCTCATCACCGCTAATATGTCGAGGTACACCATCGTCGACAGGTGCTTTTGGAATTTGCAGTCTTCAATGTCCAGGCTGTTGTGAAGTATGAGCAGGTAGTTGAGAGTGCTCAGCACCACTTCGTAAGTCTTGTGGCTGAGGGTTAAGGAGATCAGTTCGGAGCTGGTCTTGATGTTGCGCGATTTCCTGAGCAGCACGAAGTAGAGATTGACGAAGTTGCCGATACACACGTCACGGCCCGACGTGATCGGCGGGACGTAGTATGCGAATATCACTTTGTGTATCTGCGATTGTATGCGGGATAACAAATCGTCACTAATCAAAGATGGGAACCTGAAAACAAGTTTTTCACATTACAATCTTGGTCTACGTATAAAGGCGAAACTGCCGCTTACGCCTTTTTCCAATTATTTAAGCAATGATTTCATTTTGCTCTAATCTATAACGTCTGTAAGAAAAAACAAATTTTTTCCATTAGATACAAAATAAAATTTTAGGCAAATAGGCGTATGTGCAAAACTACGCACGTATAAAGCCCAATCATACGATTCGTCAATCTATACGAGTAGTTGCTTACATAAATATATATTTTTTATAATCCAAATCTTAAATAAAGCCATGAAAATATTTAGCAAATTGTTTTATTTATAAATTATGACACATTATACAGTGTGAGTCACGTTAAAGTGTACATATGAAAATAGATAAAACTAGACCTATTTTTATCGACAAAAAATAGGTAAAAAACATTTTGAGATTTTTTTTTAATTTTTTATAGAATTTTTTTTCTTCCAATTACTTATTGTAAAGAAAACGTAATAACTTTTAAACTAATAGGTATATCCTGATAAAATAAAAACAGTAATAATGCTAAATAACGGGCGATACTAAAACAATACATAAAATACACAAAAAATGCCAATAAATAATAAAAAATGATACTTTATAAAAAAAATCTGCTTAAAAATTCGTATTTTTTTTGTTATATGATAAATTTCTCCAAAAAATGCCCCTATAACAGATGATTTTTATTACTTTTTATTATTCTCTATCGTATAACTTTTGTAAAACTAAAAATCGCATGTCTCTATCCCTATCACAACATTTGCTATGATCGTTTGAACAAAGGCCTGCCACCACATTTTTCTCCGCTACAGGTAGAGACAATTTTAATTTTAACTAAAATGCTTATTTTACTTCGAAATCTTTTGTTTTTATTTGAAATCTAACTTGTCTTTAACAAAATTACAAATCTAGAGTCACTTTCAGTTTCGTTGTTAACGAAGCGTTGAATGGCGCGCTCGGAGAGGCTTAGTTCAAACGATCATTGCAAACGTTGTGATAGGGATAGAGACATGCGATTTTTTGTTTTACAAAAGTAATACGATAGAGAATAATAAAAAGTAATAAAAACCACCTGTTATACGGGCATTTTTTGGAGAAATTTATCAAATAACCAAAAAAATACGAATTTTTAAGCAGATTTTTTTCAAAAAGTATCATTTTTTATTATTTGTTGGCATTTTCTGGGTATTTCATGTATTTTTTTAGTATCGCCTGTTATTTAGCATTATTACTGTTTTTCTTTTATCAGGATATACCGCTTAGTTTAAAAGTTATTACGTTTTCTTTAAAATAAGTAATTGGAAGAAAAAAAATTCTATAAAAATTAAAAAAAAAATCTCAAAAATTTTTGGACCTCTTTTTTATCGATAAAAATAGGTCTAGTTTCATATATTTTCATATGTACACTTTAACGTGACTCACACTGTATAGTTATTTAATTTTTAGTGTTAAGAGTCGCATCTCAAACTAATTTGAAAATTATAAATAATTTGAAAAACCGAACTGCCTAAGGCATCGTGGGTTCAATTCCCGCCTTAGGCAGTTCGATTTTTTCAAGTTATTTATAATTTTTAAAAATATGACACATTATGTTAAAAGGCCTAACTAAATCTCGAGCACAGTATATGGGCGTATTTGCGTTAAACGTAATAACGATACATTAAACAACTTTTTCTAACTGATTTGTTATTGATATAGCACATGATAACAATTAAAATAATTACATGCATAAATAAAGAGAGTAATCGCTTAAAATATTATATTTACGTTGTCATTTAAGTCTCTTTACGTTGAACAATATACATGAAATTATAGAAATATGACGACGTAAAAGGGCAATGCGTAAAATCTCAAAATATACAGGGTGTCCCGTAATGTAACGTCAAGCCGGAACTGGGTGTTGAGGCAAGTTATGCTGGTTATCAGAAAAATAAAAAAAAAATCTATGTGACATTTTGTCAAAATAATAGGCATTTAAAAAAAATCTAAAAATTCTACTCCCGGTGACGGTCTTTTTACTCGTGTTGCCACAAATCTTCACTTTTTCCAAATTTTTTTTTTGTTATGTAACCCTGAATAATGCTTCTCTAAATTGTTATCAAAATTATAAAATCAGCTGCTCCAACTTGGATGAAAAAAATACATTATTCCCAAAAAAAATATCAAAATAAAAATTTTGCCTAGTTTAAACTGACTGTACTGAAAAAAAATTGTACTACGCGAGTGTGGCAAGTGACGTCATAATTTGGCGCATTTAGTAAGGATTCCAAAATGGTATAACACTTGGTAAATTTTTGCTGTAATTGTCGACAATTTTTGGTTTTTTGGAAATAGTCCCGTTTTTAACTTTATCTATCTACCTTGGTTAAAAATATTATTCTAATGTGCCCAAAATTCAAGTTTCTGGCTTAAGTGAGGTGGAGAAGCCATTTTAAAAGGTATGAGCGGGACGGAGAGAGCCATCTTACTTAGCAACAGGGATGTTATGGATATCCGTAACCGTAACCGAAACTGATTCAAAAGTTACTGATAGTTTCGGATAAAGGCGGAGTCTAAGGGTACAATTCCAAACTGCAAAACTCTATGAAATCTGCAGTATACACGCCGCAGCTNTTTTTTTATAGGTCCATGGTGGGGAAAATGAGTCATGAAACAGCAAACAATTCATCTGAAAACTACCTACTTAAATAACTAACAAGCGAAGTCAATATAAAGCTTGTAAAAAGGATACCTACAGGAGAAAGGGACACTTGGTCCTGCCAGAGTTAGGGAGACGATAATTCAAAAGCACGAAAAGTTTAATCCGTGATTCTGACTCGCACTAACTGGGTAGAATTCATACGTATCCTAACTTGATGGTTAATTAGAACCAAGTCTTTCTCCAAAAGAAAAGGATCAATCTTGGGCCTCGCAAAGATTATGCTTAAATGATGAATTAATCACATAATTATTAAAACAGCACTCAATAAAAGATCGCAAGTAATAACACAATTTTATTTAGAATAAGCCGAATACGGCTGCTGTAAAAAGAACTTAAATTGGTTTGTCCTATTGTGTAGTCCACGAAGTAAAATGTTTGATCAGCAAACTATTTCAGGCTATATTTTATACGCCTTACAACAACTTTATTTATTTGCTGATAGTTATTTAGTTTTCCGCTAACCACTTGTTTCTGATTTATTGTTTTACTTTTTTTGCGCAAGTATACCGCAACATTTCACGCAGTCCAGGCACGTCGAAAACGGCGTTAACTGCGTTGTTTCTGTTGTCCAGAAGTCCTTGGGTGCGTACGCACTTCGCACAAAGATCTGTTCCTCAATGAGTTTCCATATCCACAAGTGGTTACGAGCGCGATTTAGCATGACAGTCGCCTGTTGAACCGCCTTGACCGCTCGCTGGCACACGGGGTCCGATTCGTAAGGCATATTAAATAGTAAGTTCTGGATGTTGCAGCGAAACACCTGAAATTTCGGACTGATACAATCCAAATTCCAAGTCGGTTATCAATATTATGAAACCCCAATAACATTAAAATGATGTTATCTTATTCTAATGGAAGAACACATAACTCTACAGGTACCTACATAAAACGAACTAGAACAAATGATATAAAAACTGACCTCGTGTCCGCATATCTCCAGCATGCAATAATTAACGAAAAGAACTTGCACGAGGTCGACTCTATATCCAAGAGTCTGGAGACGGTCTGCAAAAGAATACCTACCTAATTACATAGCTGGGTACGAGTCATTTTTGATCAGCATCGAAAAGAATAAACCTCGTATAGATAGAATATTCCTCCTTCTCGAATAGCTGGACATAAATCGCTACCAATGATAAACGCCACTAAAGCATTGTCCACCCGCTGACCGCTTCTCACAATTAAATATTAGGTAGGGAGGGATATTGAACTACACTCGGCATCAAATAAATCGCACCTCCCGCGACAAGCACTTATCAAACGTATGCATCCCCACTTCCCACCAACATAGGTACCATTTGAAAGCCTAGTTTTAAACTTCATTTCATTAAAGGAAAGGTTTTTACCCCAAAAATGTGTCTTTACAAGGATCCAGAGTCACTTCTTCAAAAAATGGGTAGGTAGTTACGCTATAGCCATTNCTAGGCAAAATTTTTATTTGGATATTTTTTTTGGGAATAATGTATTTTTTTCATCCAAGCTGGAGCAGCTGGTTTTGTAATTTTGATAACAATTTAGAGAAGCATTATTCAGGGTTACATAACAAAAAAAAAATTTGGAAAAAGTGAAGATTTGTGGCAACACGAGTAAAAGGACCGTCACCTGGAGTAGAATTTTTAGATTTTTTTTAAATGCCTATTATTTTGAAAACATGCCACATAGATTTTTTTTTATATTTTTCTGATAACCAGCACAACTAGCCTCAACACCCAGTTTCGGCTTGACGTTACATTACGGGACACCCTGTATAAGAAAAATATATAAATTGATAACAGCAGTAGCAAAAGCATTACATGTTACGGCTAAATGTGAAATTTCATTAAATTCGTTTCAGTAGGTCAGAAGATATGACCCAAAAATATGGTTCTGGCCACTTAAATGGCTCTCCTGTAAAATCTATTTTTTCACTTACGCCATATGTAGGAGCCATCGATAATTAGTAGTTGCGAGTTACTGTTTTCAGTTGTTGCGATTATAGTCTGGTCGCCGAGCACATAGAATTTTGTCCAATGACCCCAAGCTACCCATCCTTATCGCTCGCGCGTAATTATGGTGCTGTCGCGCTCGCACACTCACTGCGGGCGCCCATCACACAGTTGCTCGGAGACCGGGCTTTAGTACTTCTTAGTGACCAGTTACGAATTACTATGACTTACTGATTTCTGCGACGTTTGTCAACAACCCACTCCTCTTTTCGGTTGAAGTAGCTGGTACAAATATAACAACCGCTAATTATGAGTTAAAAGTATATTATTTTGTTCTTTAACTCACCTCCACAGCAGCATATTGATCATCTTCGCATACTCGTCGGCGATGACATAGCAGGCGTGGTCTCCGTCGGCCTGCTCGACGATCCACAGCGTCTGCTCCAGGCGGAGGCGCAGGCACGCCAGGGCTTCGCCCTCCAGCGCGGCCTCGTCCGGACGAGCGTCCAGCAGTCGAGTGAGCTGTAGTAACACGCCATGGCAATAGTTGCGTTTGATCTCCGGGTCGGAGATCACGTTAAGCAACGCCTCGACGAACGCCATGTATCTGGAAGTGTTTTTTTTATTTATTAATTTGGACCACAAACAGATTCACAATATGTATTCTTAAAAGCTAGTTTTATGGATAGTGCTTATCATGAATCCAACAACGTTGGTCACAATTTAAGATTACAAATGTTTAATGGGGCAGAGCCTGTCTAGGCATCCGGCGCATACTCTAGTTCTACTCGTTCTAATACCATTTAATTTATACAACTCAAAAGTTAGTGATGATGATACATACAAGCTAGGTAGTCAAGTTTATTTGTCTAATTCGGCAATTAGGGTGTCTGTGACAAGTTTCTTATATTTACCAACGGTAGAGGCAAAAATGTCCAAGTCATTGAAAAGTTTGTTGTGCGTTAATGACATTCTGTTTATGGGACATCGCAGTCCGGCATTAGTCCGACAAGCTGTAGTTGAGAACAACTCATTACAATGTGTAGATCTCATATTTGCTTTTGTAGGTACTCTATAATACACTTCATTAGTCAACTCGATACAGTCGTACCTGTTGTGACATATGTCGTATAGTAGCATTGTTTCCAATTGTGCACGTCTCAATTTAAGTCTAGTAAATTATATTCGGTTAGTAATTCCTGATATGGTAGTCTTTTCCTGACATATTTTTAATGTACAAATCGCAAGAATTTTTTTTGTTGTGTTGAGGATGGTATAGCGATCGAGGCAAACAAGATCGGTGTTGCATTCTGAAATAAATGGAATTTCTAACACGAGAAGGGTTAAGGCTGGATTGCACCATCTTACTTTAACTTTGACAAACGTCAAAAATCTGTCAAACTCCATACAAAAAGCACTGGTTATCGTCAAATTTACCGTTAAAGTTAAGTGGTGCAACTCAGCCTGTGTCATGTGTGACGTATGAGGGAATTTGATCTGACCAAAAACAAAAGATAGCCTTCGTTTGTCTCAATAGGCGTTAAGTCAGAAACTCTTTATTGCATACTATAATTATGAATTTTTTTAAGCGTTAAGACGTCACAGCGTTCGCCCGGCAAGCGAAAGGTCGTGTGTTCGATTCTCCCCTCGGTCAATTATTCGATTTCTTTCAAGTTATTAAAAATATATACAGGTTCAAAGCGGCACAATATAAGTGGTCCAAAGAAACGATACTGACCAGTCAGACGCAACGAGCGGTCACGAACGGCGGCAGCGCTGCCGGCCCTAGGTGCAGCGCTTGCTCCATCTAGTGTTGAAGCCAGAGCAAGGGTTCCCAAAGTAGAGGGGCGCCGTGAGTCAACAATCATTTACGTCGCGTTGGCGCTTGAAAACCATTGATACCCTTTCTCTCCTACGTCTTTACCCCCCCTCCCCCCCCCCGTTTTTCGACTATATCTTTTGGTTAGGCCCGCTATACACGGACAGCTCGAGCAGTTAGTCAGTGATCAACATACACAGACCGCTCTTGTAGTCAAGAGTCAACAGCTTGAATCTGCCAGCTATAACTGCTCAACAAATCACAAGCGCGCGCGCCGTGGAATTTAAAAAGTGGGCAATTACCTCCAACTGCGCGAGAGCTGTCGACAGCTCGAGCAATCAGTGTATAGCTGGCGACTGCTTGACCGCACGATAAAAATTCACCGTGCTGTCGAACGCCCGAATCAGTTGCAACCGCTCGAGCGGTTCGTGTATGTGCGTCCATAGAACTCTGCAGTTCACTGTGCAGTCGCAGCTTGAAGCTGTCAACCCTGACTGCTTCAAGCGGTCCGTGTATTGCCGGCCTTAGGGTGCTGAAAAAGATTGGGTACCCCTGAGCTAGAAGCTAATGAATGGAGCAGGATACTGACTGGTCTGGCGCGAAAGGCGGCAGCAGCGCCACAAGCCGCACAATGGACGGAGCAGGATACTGACTGGTTCGCAGACGGCCGGGGGGAAGAAGGAGGAGATTCGCTCGCCTCCTTCCGCCTCCCTAGGTGAGACCAGTGGGTGTTAGGCCGGGGGGCCCATCACCCACATTGCATCCCATCCTGTCTGGGGGGGTCTGCCAGTGTACCGGCAGACCTCTTTAGCGCGGGAGGCCCGGCAAAGGCTGGGCCATGCGTCGGCACGGCGTGATCTGAATCTGTAGGACCCCACGTCGTGCCAGTAAAACGCGGAGGGTGCACCGCAGGTTTTTAGTGGGTATACTTGTCGGGTGACAGCCGCTATTGCTGCCACCCGACAATGGAGTCCCACGTAACCCGTCGCTTCCCCGGAGGCGGCGGGTATACGCAAAGTATTTTCCTGCGCAAAAAAAAAAGGATACTGACTGGTCGGGCGCGACGAGCGGCAGCAGCGCGCGCGCAGACAGCTCCCGCGCCGCTCGCACGGGGCTGCGGGCGGCGGCGGCGACGAGCACACAATGGACGGAGCAGGATACTGACTGGTCGGGCGCCACGAGCGGCAGCAGCGCGCGCGCAGCCAGCTCCCGCGCCGCTCGCACGGGGCTGCGGGCGGCGGCGGCGACGAGCGGCAGGAGCGCCACGAGCCGCAGCGCCGACGCCGTGCCCTCGAGCGCGGACGGGTACAGGCGGCCCAGCAGCAGCAGCACCGGGCACAGAGCCGGCTGTAGCTCGTGCTCCATCGATTCGTTCGCCTCCTTCAGCTTGTTCTATTTGAAGCGAGGACTTTAGTTTATTTTTGCGGAAGCTTGGTGTAACGAAAGTACAATAGTCGTTACGTTTATAATCAATGAGGATTGAAAAATCCGCCAGATGGCAATACGTAGACGGGAGGTCCAAATGCTGCATGATTGGTGGATTTTGACCTATCTGTCAATGTCATGTCAAAAATAACCAATCATGCAGCATTTGGACCTCCCGTCTACGTATTGCCATCTGGCGGATTTTTCAATCGCGAAAACTTTCATTCATTACGGTCAGTCCTCTACGAATACCATCAAAAATTTATGAATAAAACAAATTAACTTCTAAAAATGTATCGAAAAGCATCATAATAATGTCCAGTACTATAACATGAGCCCCCCTCTCCCATAATTCGCCCTAGCGAATGAGGGTTTTCGCGAATGAAAGATCCGCTAGATGGCGGGACGTGGATGTGGGGTCTGACTGCTGCGTAATTGGTGGATTTTGACATATCTGTCAATGTCATGTCAAAAATAACCAATCATGCAGCATTTGGACCTCGCGTCTACGTATTTAAGTATGTTTATACCCATTTTCTAGTGCTTAGTTTGGGACTAGAAGCGCAATGTAAAATGTCCAAGGATATTTATTATTATTATTGCCATCTGGCGAATTTTTCATTCGCGAAAACCCTCATTAGCATCATCTCTCTTCAAATTCAAAATTCAAATGCGTTATCGATTCCCCAAGTGGACGCCTATTTACTGCGTCTTCCATTCTGCAGCCGCCACTCGAAGACCTTTCTTCTTCCAACGGCTGTGGATGCTGCAAACTATATGGCTGGTTTTAGTGTCACGCGGACTGTGAGTGCGGATCGCTCCGCACAGCCGATCTGTATGAACGGCTAGGGAGCGAGCGGTTCCTCCGGCCCGCATTACTCTAAAACGCTCCCTAGAAGTTTATACAGATTGGCCGTGCGGAGCGGGTCCGCACCAGACGGTCCGCATGACACTAAAACCAGCCTATGGCTGACCTATAGCTAAATAGAAAGAAAGAAAGAAAATAATTTTATTTTGACAACAACAGATTCAGGGAACAAAGACATACATAAAAAAAAATATTTAGTTGCCAATAAAATACGTACCAGTATGAAGTCGTAAAGCGCCGGGTAGCGCAGGAAGAAGATGCGACCGGTCATGGTGTTTCGTAGCGCGGGCAAGTCGGAGTGGCGCGCGCGGTCCACGCCGAATATGCGCACCATCAGCGCACTGAACAGCAGCGTGGAACTGTTGCGCTCCTGCACGCGAAAACCGAAAGGTCACTGAGTGACTCATTACGAAATCTCAGGAACTACAAGTGCTAGGAGTATCAAATTTTGCATGAGGGTTCTTGAGGTTGAGAGCCATCTGCGCTCACCTATTGTCAGGTGAAGCTGAAAAACCCGCTCACACATTCAGTCCGAAAAAAAAATTGCATGAGGGTTCCTTTTAGAACGTAGATGCTCACTAAGACGGGATTTTGTAAAATTCAACCCCTAAGGGAGTAAAACGGGATGCATGAGTACGAAGTGACGGGCGGCTGCTAGTACACATATAAAAGAAGGATGAGATTCAAATCAGGATCGACGTGCATTAAACAGTAGCGTGTAAAGGTTCGGCCAAACCAACGCGCCTGCGTGCACGTTGGCGATCCTACTGATTGCGTTAACGATTTCCAAAGAGGTCTGTATAAAATAATTGGAAATTGGGAAGCTTTTAATAAAACTCTTCGCCTTTTCGAACCAATACGTCGAGCCAGCATGGTGAGTGTAGGCTTCCCTCTATCTCTAGTAAATTACATATACCAGAAAATCTGGTAATTTGTGCTTTGCAATGAAGGCTAAAAGACAAAGAGACATGCATCAAATATTAAACATACCAGAAAAAATATTTGAAAACTCACCATCCACGTCTCCCTCTCGAAGCCTCGCAGTGCGACCATCAGCCCCTCCCCAACGTATCCCCCCAGGGCCTCCTCCAAAGCTGACGTCTTAAACAGCGCCCGCAGAATGTTCATGCTGTGAGTTCTCACTTCCACGTATGGGTCATGCGGCTCATCTTGATTGGTAGCTCCCGAAGCATTAGCTCGGTCACTGGGCTCATGTGTAGTAGTATTTAAAGTGGAAGGAACATTTTCGGGCTCTGCATCAAGAGTCACTTGTTCGGCATTACTTGTTGCAGGATACACGTCTGGGTTAGGGACGTAGTTGGCGAGGCGAAGAAGGGCAGTCATGCATTGTGGTAGATATTTGGGGCTACCTGCCACCTGCACTTCGGTGGTGGTAAGTGCCTGTAAGAAAATTTTAGATTGAAAGATCACAGCCGAAAGACCGAAGTAATTTAGGTAGTACGTTTAACTGAGTACGTTTTTTTTTAAATTTGGCTGTCCCCTGTTCTTCTCACGGTCTCCGTTTTAGTATTACCCGGCGCTCCTGAACCCAATATAAGAAGACGTCTACCTATAGCGACATCTCCTATGTTAGGCCAAGAGCAAGACACACTTTGAGTCGCTGGCTTAAAGGAGTAATTAAAAGATTTTTTCTTTATTGAGGCCGGACTTCGGCAGTGGTATAGTGTGCAGGTGTAATGGATATGTCATGTGACTTCACAATTTTACGGTGACAAATACATCAGTTTCTGGAATCTTCTGGAACCTCTCAAAATATGTCCTATGCTTTAGGAATGTTATGGTTAAGTAGTTTCGGTTATGGATACGGTTACGGGCATAGGAATAATATTATACCGGTTTCGGTTACGGTTACAGATATTTTTTTATTTCGGATATCCGAATCTTTCGGTTACGGTTACGGATATTTGTGCTTTAGAATGCAATTTGCAATACTTGTCCAATACATGGTTATTCATGGCCGCACACTTTACATCGAAGAAAAAGTAATAAAAATTAATACTAAATGGCATTATAAAGGTAAATCAGGCTGTTTTGCCTTTACATATAATGCTATACAAAAAACAATTTAAACTGCCTACATCCGAAACTATCCGAAACTTTTGAATCAGTTGCGGTTACGGTTTCCGATATTTTTTTATTTCGGATATCCGAAAGTTTCGGTTACGGTTACGGATATCCATAACATCCCTGTTTCCTACCATAATCATGTATGGCAGGCCGGCGCTGCGTCGTGTAGCACTCAGGCCGGGCTGCGGCGCGGAGATGACGCGGATGCAGTCCCGTAACCACATACGCGGCATCAGGTGCAGCTCCTCCGAGCGGCACCTCCACAGCCTGGCGGAAGTGGAACGGTCCATTATACACAAATATCAAGAGGCAGGCACTACACTATAATTATTACAGTAATTTATTTGATATAACAACAGCAAAGGTACAAGATACAATGGACACAACGATGACCCCTGCAGAAGTATAAAACTGTGTTACAGAGAGTAATGTATGTATGTAACTTTGAGTAATTGAACATTTTTCAGATTGATACATGACAGTGAAGCTCACACACGTCAGACTTCAGAACATAAGTGGGATTGTAAGTGTAACGGAACACATAGAGCAAAGTGAAAAGTAATGAACGAGAAAAAGAGAGAGATTTTTGCAAAAGGGAAAGATACGAATGTGAAGATTTTGCGTGGAGAAGACGAGAATTATCTTTTCTTGATTGTTAAATCTTGAATTGAGACATCTCGATGACAATGGCCTGATGATCTGAAGAAGATAGCGGGACATCGCACTATGTATAGCTCGTGCCATCCACGAAGACGCGCCCCACCAATTTTTGGTCGAGGGAAGCGCGGGGTGCGGGGAGTTTGATCCGAGCAATCCGAGCGTCATTATTGTAGTGTCCGTGTGCACTCATGGATAATTTAGCGTGTACCGATAACACTCAAACATTAGCGAAAGAATGGTGGGGCGCGTCTTTGTGATTGGCACGATCTACAGTGGTCTTTAAGAGGCTGAAATGATGACATAGAAGCTTCTTTCAAGCAAAATATCTTTCTCACCTGGTCAGCATCCTGGAGAAGCCCACATACGCCTGCTCAAACGCGCCCCGATGTTTGGTCTCAGCCAGCAGTTGGGTGAAGTGTTGGCCGATGCGATTTAGCTGCTCGTGCGACAGTAAGCCCGTCTCGTCCTCCAGTTCGATGCTCATCCGGGCCACCAACGTGCCGAGAATGTTTGACACCTGGGGATCAACGAAGATGGGCCGAGTCTGAGAGGGAGAAACCAAATGCGACAGCTTACCTCACAACTGCTCCCTGCATGTACAGTTAGTTTTATTTTTATTATTTTAATGGGAACATTGTACAAGTCGTCTGAAGAAAATATAAAAAGTATTATAATGTACAGTCACAAGCACATAAATGTATACCCACAGCCACACTATGTAATTTATTAAGTTTTATAGAAATAAAAAAGAAAAATATTTTAAAAATAAACATAAAATTACACAAGGTAATTATAATTACTTTATCCATGTTTGTAATTTAATATTCACTTTATAATCTACATACATACACATATCAGTTATAGAGCATATTTTAATGTAAAAAAGTCTTATGCCAATTATGTATGGCTTACTGGTGGAATAGAGATGGGTTCAAGGCAAGTAACTTACAGATGTTATAAAGTCACCTAAATGCCCTTTATTATACTTCATGACATTAGCCGGGACAAACTATTACACCTAAGTATTTTTCGAAGAATGGAGATGCTTGTGATAAGTGCCACGAAATATGGTCGTAAAGTTCGGTATTCGCCAAAGCAAACTAAATATGTAAATCAAAAGTTACCAAACAAGTGTGTTAACGATAGGTTCTGTATATCAAGCGAGTATGATTCCATGTTCAATATAACACCAATTTTTCCATCCTGTAAGTACTTTCCCTCATCGAATCTCTTAGTGTTCAGGCTATTAATGTTTTCTTGCCCAACTTATATATTTCATTCATAATTTCACAATGAAAATGATTATTACTAACCTCTTTCACTGATCTCCAAGCACATAGAAGCACCATTTGAGCTGTAACTGGTCTTCCATCTTCTAGTCTCAGGTCACTAGAATTTAGAATTTAGAAATGTGTAGATAAAGGCCTCTAGTTAAATAACTTATAGCCACGTACCCCCAATCCAATCCACTGTCTGGTTGACACCAAGGTCAACTAAGGCCTAAGTTTTTTGGATGACTCTATGGATCTTATTTGACAGTTAAGTTAAAAAGAGATTCTGGTTTTATTTAATAAGGAGGAAAAGTGATATTCATTAATGTTGGGATTGTGAACAATGATAATGATTTGCGCCAATCGTAGTAGCAGGACGGTTTTAAGCACAAGCCAATTTATACATCTTCAATAAGGAAGAATTTGCCTAACAAGATCTGTGCCTTAGGAAGAACACGCTTGCAGATCAAGTTTTTAAGGACAAGCCAATTTACACCTATCGCTCTTTTATTATGGGAAAAATTGCCTAGCTACATCTGTCTTGGAAGAATACGCTCGCAGATCAATTATGAAAATCCAGCAGTTTTTAACTAAGGAAGAATTTGCCTAGCGCTAATCTGTAAAATTAAGAAATACGCTTGCAGATGAAGTATGAATATTTCAATCTCCAGCAGCCTGTGAATCTCACCCCGTGTTGCCGTAGTCATCTGTTGCGATGCCACCAGCGTCCATAGGCAGGTGTCCCTCGGGTGACGCGTTGTTGACCACACAAGCCACGCTTTGGTTCACTAGCAAGCATAGATCTATGAGTTCAGCGATCAGCGCTCTCCATTGGTCGTCGCCTGCTAGAACTCTGAAAGCAAAATTTTGGCTTATTAGAAAACCGAATTAGTACAGCCAACGAGAAGCGATACCAAATGTAAACAAACCCAATGTCATGGGTGAACCCGTTAAACTTTGACATATTTTGGCAGGAGATCGAGACATTACGACAAATACGCAAGATGGGAAGAGACAGAATATATTGTCAACTCGACAGTCGTATTGACCTTTTGTATCGCTGCTAGTTGGCCGTACTTTAGGTGATTTGATGATACTCAAACTCAATACACATGTGTTGTCAAACGAAAATCACATAATTATGCTGGCATGGATTCACATCCACTTCGTACAGACTTCGTTCGTATCGTGTACTTGAATTGATTGACCGAAAAGAAATATGTCCGCCGAAGCGGAGTGAGATAGTAGAATTGCGAGTTATGTCTGTCCAGCTAGGTATGCGAAGCGGATTTGTGTGTCATACGTGAAGCGTTAGGCTCTGCTCCGCTTTCTAGTTTAGTATAATTTTATAAACTAGTTTGCAACTCCCTGTCCACAGAGGTGGAGTACAATTTTTTATGGCACTCACCACTCCCACCACCTCGCTCCGCTCCCGTGGACAGGGAGCGTCAGTCTAAGACCAGTAGGCTGAGTGTGAAAAAAAAATTGAGTGAGCTCACTAGTGAGCGCGTTTAAAAAATGTATAAAAGCTTTTGAACGTTTCGCTGTACAATCTGTCATACATTAAATGTCATTTTTTGATGAAAACTCACACTCAGCCCTCAGATCTCCACTAGGTGACTCAGGTGGAGCGCCTCGACATGCGGTGGCTCAAATGGAGACGCTGTCTCAACCTGAGGCACGACTCGTTGCGAGGCAAAATTCGTCGCCGCGGTTAAGCCACATTTTGCCGCTCGGCTCGATACGCGGCCGTCGAATCGATTGAGATTAAGGCCCAGAACACACGGTGAAACGCAACTGCAACAAAACTGCAACTTCTAGTTACTTTTGAGTTGCATCAAGTTTCTACAATAGCGTCCGTTGAGAGACCACACATGACGCGCCCAGTTTGAAACCGATTTGAACTGGTCAAACTGGTCGCGTCATGTGTGGTCACTCAACGGACGCTATCGTAGAAACTATTCGTTGCAGTTGGGTTTCACCGTGTGTTCTGAGCCTAAGGCCTCAGCCTCGAATTTAGCGGGCAGCGGCGCGGGAGCGGGGCGGGCAACGCAGCCCCGTTCTCGAAACAAGCGGGCAGCTCGCGCAGCGCTTTAGCGGCGAAGTGTTGTGTTCGGGGTTGTGTTGTCGAGATATTTTGTTTTTATTCGCAAACGAAATGTCTGAACGACGACGACAATTTTATTTCGATTCAAATTTATTCCTAGCGTTCGATTTATTGTGGGCAAAAGAAGAAGTGCGCTGCCCGCTCGTTGCCCGCTCCCGCGCTGCTGTTTTCGAGAACCGGTCTATTTGATTTTACGCATAAGATCCTGCCGCTCCCGCGCCGCTACCGTCGCCGCTCCGCTGCCCGCTAAATTTGAGGATGAGGCCTTAGGCGTTCGGATCGAATGCTCCACTCACGCGGGGTCGCAGTGGGTCATGAAGTAGCCGACGCAGTGCAGCACGCCGTACATGGGCGCCGCGCGCGCCGCCGCCGCCACGCTGCGCGCGCTCACAGCCAGTTGCGCGCGAAGTTCGCGCACCAGCCGCGAAACTAGCGCGAACATCGCCGGCTCCGCTGCCGTGCTGTATACAACAAGAGATATTTATTTATTTATTTATCTATACAGGGTGGAAACGATAAGTGATCTCACTCGATTATTTCTAAACTATACAAGATATCAATAAACTAGTTATTGATCCTGAAAGTGCTTCATGAGCTCTATCAAACGGTATTAATAATAGGTTACAGAATAAACTGGATCTATCCGAAACTTCAATGTTTCCAGCTTCCATACATTTGGTAAAGTCACATTATTTTAAAAACTACATATGATATCGTAAAACTGATTACTGATTCTAAAAGTGCTTCACAAGCTCTATCCAATGGTATCAATAATAGGTTACAGAATAAACTGGATCTAACCAAAAATTCAATGTTTCCTTCTTCCATACATTTAGTACTACCACAGTCATGACACTCATCTCTTGACAATATTATAGCAAGTAAAGCCTAAAACCAATGTTTTTCATTAATAATTTAAAATAAGAATACAATTTACGAGTTTATTTTAAGTATATATTATTAAATTAAAAAAAATACACTTCTAATATTGTGTGTCTGGCATACATTTAGTATGGAAGCTGGAAACATTGAATTTTCAGATAGATCCAGTTTATTCTGTAACTTATTATTGGTACCGTTTGAAAGAGTTCATTAAGCACTTTCAGGATCAGTAACCAGTTTTTTAATATCTTGTATAGTTAAGAAATAATCGAGTGAGATCACTTAACGTTTCCACCCTGTATAAGGCACAGCTACAGAGAACAAACAATAACAATACAATTAACACAATTATTATAACATTAAAAAAAAAACATTTATGTATTTTGTTATGTAATTAACTGTAGCCTGTATGTGTACTTATTGAATAAAATAAAATAAACTTTTGCGTTCCATTTCAACTAAAATAGAAAGACCTTAAAATTTATAAAGTAATTTAATTTTATACAACGTCTTTGAAAGCATTGAAAAAAAAACAGTGCTAAAGTACGGCCAACGAGAAGCGATACCAAATGTAAACAAACCCAATGTCATTTAAATTTGGGATAGCAGAGGTGCATAACTTTTTAATAGTTAAATTACATATTTTTGCAGACAATATAGTTTTAAAAAATATCTGTCAAACCATTAAAATAGATGTTTTATCGAATTTTGTTTTTGTTATAATCTGAATTATTGTAAAATGTAGATTTAAATTAAATAACATGAATAATAATAACATTTCTGCCTCACAATGTGCCCTGTGTATGGCAACAGGCCTACCCCTTTTTCATATACATACTTAAATATATCGGAATAATAAAATAAGAACCGACAAGTAACAGATTCGTCCTCGTGAATTGCAACAACTATGTATTCTAAAATGGATGTCCGAATGTTGACAAACCCGTCTAACTTTGACATAATTGGCGGGAGAACGAGACATTACGACAAATACACAAGATGGGAAGAAACAGAATAGATTGTCAATTCGACAGTCGAATGAACCTTTTGTGTCGCTGCTAGTTGGCCGTACTTTAATAAAAAAATAAATGCCCACTTACATTTCTCCTTCTTCTCCTGCCAACACCAATTCTGGTAGCTTTTTCTGCAGAAAGACGAGTTTGTACGCAGCGGACGAACAGTCGGTCGGCTTCATCGACGACGCCTGCCGTATGATAGTATCCACGTCCAGGCTGACACTGTAGCGTCGGTTCTACAAAATTGAATAAAAACATGGTCAAGGCGACAAAGACTCAAGCTTAACTCTGTGACACCTTGCATAGATACGTCGTCGTTTCAGCCAAATGACGTCCACTGCTGGACAAAGGCCTCCCCCAAGGTTTTCCACAATGAACGGTCCTGCGCTGCCCGCATCCAACCGACATAGCTCGCAGAATTGCTAAAATCAAGTGGCAGTGGGCGGGGCACATAGCTCGTAGAGACGATGGCCGTTGGGGCAGGAAAGTTCTCGAGTGGCGACCACGGGCTACTAGGTGGACCGACGATCTGGTATAGGTCGCGGGAAGAGCATAGATACGACTGCAACAAAAACTAATAACCTTAATATTTTAGACTGTACTGGTAAATCTTGACAGTAATTGAATGCATTATACAAAATAACCATGTGAATCATAAAAAATGTGTAAACCAATTTGACATTGTTGGTGTACTTAATAAATAAAAATAAAAAATATTAGTTGAAGCATACCGTGATTAGATCAACTGGGGCATTCGACAAAATCCACATCGCCAAAGATTTGTTGACCTCATAACTGTCTTCCAGGTGTAGAAGGAGTTTTTCTACGTATTCTTCTTTCCAATCTCTGTAAATAAATTATTTTTATGCATAACAAAGGCAGAATGATTATAATTTATTGAGAGATCGAGTATCTTACATCGAGTTCGAAAACGTATGTTGCGCATTGTAATACAATAATTGGATAGTCAAGCTTGTCTCTACGTCCCTACTTAATGTGTCTCATAAGGATTTAGGCCATTCTTTATAAGGGGAAAAAATAGAGCCACAAATGAGTTGACATGACGATCGAACTTTTTGCCCTCGAAAACAACGTGAAAAGCCATCTCCAACGTCCTAACCTAACCTACCACCTTTAAAAATACCTATAACGCATATACAATTTAGCATCATTAGTCCTTTAGCTATTCTTCGTAGCCTACCCTGCCCATGCTGACCAGACGGTTTTGTGATATCTAGGATCTTGCATGACCTCAAAAATTACCACGAAAGCAACATGCAAAGCCCCTATCACCTGTTGTAGCCATCTAAGCTCATCAAATCCGTCCAGGCTACCAGCAGCATGGCTGCAAACCGCTCGCCCAGCTCGGACTGCCCCAGCGAGTAGTCCACGCCGAGGGTCAGAAGAATCTTGCGCATCTCGAAGAAGTGGTAGAAGTGGTAGCCTTCAGGACGAGGTACGAATCCAACTGTGCGCGGGCGCTACCAATTTGCTACTGATTGTGTGTGAGCGTTTCTCACGTGTGCGGTTAAGCAAATCGTAAACTCCTGAGCCCTTTCCGTTAATTTACTATCCATAATTAAATCTCCGCAATGCACGGTCCTGCGCTGCCCGCATCCAGGCTCTTCCCGCGACCTTTACCAGATCGTCGGTCCACCTAGTAGGGGGCCTGCCCACGCTACGTCTTCCAGCCGTGCATTGTGGAAAACCTTGGAGGAGGCCTTTGTCCAGCAGTGGACGTAATTTGGCTGAAAGGAAAGAAGGAAGGAAGGAAGGAATTAAATCTACAGTAATAAACTGATGTTGTAATATAGAGTGGGTATTTTTTCAGTTAAGGTTTACTCATCAAAGTCTGTAATCTTGCTTAGTGGAACTAGATGGTGTCATATGAAAGGATCAAGAATAGGTAAGAAATATTTAATAAAATATTATCCCAACTAATATTATAAATGCGAAAGTAACTCTGTCTGTCTGTCTGTCTGTCTGTCTGTCTGTCTGTCTGTCTGTTACGCTTTCCCGCTTAAACCTCGCAACCGATTTTGATGAAATTTGGCATAGAGATAGTTTGAGTCCCGGGAAAGAACATAGGATAGTTTTTATCCCGGTTTTTGAAACAGGGACGCGCGCGATAAAGTTTTTCTGTGACAGACAAAATTCCACGCGGGCGAAGCCGCGGGCGGAAAGCTAGTAAAATATATAATATTATATAATATGTACTACAACATATAAATAAATAAAATACTAATAGTGGAATACACACATTGCCAAAATTACATTTGTGCCAACGAACACACCAAAAGCACAAATAATCTGGCTAGCCCTGACATTGTTGGTTGACTAATTAATTACTCGTACTTTATACGGAAAGTACTTGATGAAATAATAAATACAGAATAATAATAAGTACTAAAATAGTAGCAAATGGTAGTATGTAATGCACATAGTTTGATTTACGTATCTCGTTCGTTCAGTTGCCCCGAGGGTGACGTACTTAGTGGCTGTGTTGGCTACGTAGATAAGTCGAAATATCACAAAAACTTCTTACCTACTCGTCTAGCTGTAGTGTCAGCTTTAACGCTATTGAAAATACCGCAATCATGCTATCAAAGCGAAGCTCTATAACGTATGATGTATGTATGTACTACGGGTGTAGGTGTGAATAAATCTTTAGTTAAAGGAAACAAATTCTGTTCTTACCTGATAACTATACGACGTATAGATACTTGTACCACCTCTAACGTCACCTTCCGTCGGCTGTATCTAGCTACCAAGGTGAAGCTTGTCATGCTCTAAGATTGATAAACGGTGTGAGGAGCGAAAAGTAATGTGGTGCATCAATGGAGATCAGATGACAAGTGGTAACGCGAGATCAGTCATAGAGAATGGACATTGCGAGGCTGCTCACGAATTTGCTCGTTTGAGCAATAAGTTGAAAGGTCGTCGAGGGAGCCTCGATCAACGTTGAAAGCCAATTTGATGCGTTACATTCCTTAAGGTTACGTGCGTAAGTACGTAACGCAACCATCTGAACTTGCCAAGTCTATTACGTCATCTCACCTGTCATATCCGTCCATGTCGACGGAATCTGCGTTGCATAGCGCCTCAAGTGACAGCTTGCGGCGGCTGTAGGAGGCGCCGGGCACGAGGCTGGCGAAGCACTGCGCGCGGAACCGCTCCAGGAAGGCCCGGTAGTAAGCACAGGCTGAGTCGTCCTTGCGGGCCAGCGGCTTGTAGCTGTCTTGCAGGCGCTTGGTGAACTGGGGAGCATGTTGAAGGTTAGGTAGGTGGCTTATTATATGTCGAATACAAGGTCAGATTAGTTGGGTTGTGTCGTGACATTTATGATAGGACGTGATCTATTTCGAATACAATAATCGGTGCAGTGTGGTGCAAACCAAGTGGCAGTGGGCGGGGCACATAGCTCGTAGAGACGATGGCCGTTGGGGCAGAAAAGTTCTCGAGTGGCGACCACGGGCTGGAAGACGTAGCGTGGGCAGGCCTCCTACTAGGTGGACCGACGATCTCGTAAAGGTCGCGGGAAGAGCCTGGATGCGGGCAGCGCAGGACCGTGCGTTGTGGAAAGCCTTGGAGGAGGCCTTTGTCCAGCAGTGGACGTCATTTGGCTGAAACGAACGAACGAACGAAATCGGTGCAGAGTTCACATATTCGCAGACATTCTAGGCTACGCTATTGATTACAGAAACAACAAACTGAGGACCATTAGCCAAGAAACGGATGCACACTTGCAAGTGTCGGTGAGGTGCACCTCAGATCACGTGACAGTCGAAATAAAAAGAAATTAGGACAAAGATCCTCTGATACTTTCTCCTACATGGTGCACATTCTACATGCGGACGAATCTGTTCAAGGTCAAACACAGAACACCACAATATTTCCACAAGTCAACTGTCGCCATCCCTCGATACAAGCAGATAAGCTCCATTCTACCCCAAAGTACTTACGGTTTACGGGACTATTCCCACCTCTCGTTTACTCCAATTGTCCACTGCAACTCCTGTGTAGCCAGGATCAGGAGACTGTATATCAGGATACAGCTTGACCGCCAATAAAAAACTCAACCAGTGAAGGTCAAGTTTGCCCCGGAGGAAAGTTAAACTAAAAGTTAAACGGACCCACAACGAACTTAATCACAAGAACATAGAAGGAGTTCGTAGTGAAGGTAGTACTCACGGTCTGTATAAGCGCCAGTATGAGCTGGCGGAAGTGCGGGTCCTGCGAGTTGATGTTGTACTTGAGGAAGTACAGCACGAAGTCCAGGTCTCCTTCGGACAGCGCCTCCGTTGTTCGCGCCGAACGCGTCACCACGCCCAGCGCTAAGTAACCTGTCTGGTGCAAAGTGGCCTTCACAAAGTACTCACGGTCTGTATCAGCGCCAGTATGAGCTGCCGGAAGTGCGGGTCCTGCGAGTTGATGTTGTACTTGAGGAAGTACAGCACGAAGTCCAGGTCTCCTTCGGACAGCGCCTCCGTTGTTCGCGCCGAACGCGTCACCACGCCCAGCGCTAAGTAGCGCGTCTGATACAAATAGACAAAAACATTTCACAATCGGATACTCTTCACTTCTGTCATAAATAAACGCTTTTGCTGGCGATTTAATGACACACATTGTGCTTTGGTTGAGCTGGCACAAAACATTTACTAGAAAAAACAACAGCCACAATGGTACGGTTAGGCACCTGTCAAAACACTTCGATCATTGAATTACGATAAATGCTACACAACTCCTTTATTCGATTGCGAGCGAAAGGAGCAGATATACCACCTCAGACGGCACGTCAAAATTTATTTTAAAGTTTACTTTAAAATTAACTGCAATTGGGTTTGATTCTTTTGTGTCTGAAATTATTGGTAAGTATTTACAATACCCGGCGATAAATATTGCACATCGACCTTTAGAAAGAGACAATCGGCTAATTTCGGTTTCGTAGAGCGTTATCACTTACAATGACGTGTTGTCAAAGTGTAAAAATAAACTTTATTTTAAATGTGTGCAATTGATTTTGTGAATTAAGTTGCTAAAAACTTTTTATAGTCGTGAAAGAAAAGTGGTTCACAATGTGTTAAAGTATTTGTCGAAGAGAAATACTAAGGGTTCGGACAATATTTTCATTGAATAATGTTTTGTCAATGACGTTTTGTATCGTATAGGTAGTGTGCGAAAGACATAACGCCCTACGAGCCGAAATTAACCGATTCTCTTTCCAAAGGTCGATGTGGAATATTTAATGCCGGGTACTGTAAATAGTATCGACTACATACGAGTAATTGCACGAAACATGCGATCCGCAACTAAGGCTGAGTTGCACCACCCAACTAACCGTAACTATAACAATGAACGTTGTTTTTTGTTTAGTGTTTACAGATTTTTGACGTTTATTAAAGTTAAAGTAAGATGGTGCAACCCAGCCTATCTGTGACTGTGGATCGCAAAAAAAGTTTTTACACACCTCATCCACAGCATCCACAGCCGCCCTCTTCAGCACGTCATAGCTGACGAGCCCCTTCCAAGCATCAGCAGGAGGGTTGTCTCCAGCCAGCTTGTCGGCCACGCCCGCTCGCCTCAGTGCGTTCACTAGGAGCAGGATGCCCTTGAGGTCCGAGGAACGCACGTGTTGCTCCGCGATCTTGATGTGAGGGAGACTGGAATGGAAAGGAGTATAGTTGTGTGAATAGCTCCATAGAAGTGCTTTTTTAAAGCTTAGTTACAGAAATAAATGAGTTTTATTACTTTTTTTTTTAATTTTCATACAAAATAAATTTTATAAAATCTGATTTGTATGAAAATTAAAATAATTAAAATGGAGATATCAATTTTCTGACTTCACCATACCATTTATATGCCCATGTTAACATGGGCTAGTGTCGGCTCATATACCCATTTACCTAACACCCTGTATAAGAAACAGCTCAACGTTGTTGACTATAGAATATGACTATAAATAGAAACCACATCTCTTGATTACGAATAGGGCTTACAAAGAGTCATTTAACCGACATCACTCCAACTTTTTGACTTTGACCAATGCAATCGACATGAGTCGTTGCGGGTTTAGAGACAGTACGCGTGTCGCGTCACTGAGGGGAGGAGCATATGACCAATCGATCACGGCTCACCCATTGGAATGCCTTCAAGTGTCACAACATCTATACAATGGAAGACCACTGGAAATGCAATGAGGGCTATCGTTTTAGCGCTCACCAGTTAGCGCCACTGTAGAGTAAGGTCCTGTCACTTGCTAGTAGCGAAGACAGTGGCACCAACTGGTGAGCGCTAAAGTGGTAGGAGGACTATCGCAATTGCACTCATCAAGATGGCGCCACTGTAGAGTAAGGTCCTGTCAATCGCCAGGGGTGCCAACTGTTAAGTATAAAAACGATAGCCCTCATTGAATACAAGCCGCGAATCACTTGGATGCGGGCAGCGCAGGACCGGTCGGTATGGAAATCCTTGGGGGAGGACTTTGTCCAGCAGTAGACGTCATTTGGCTAAAACGAGTGCTGAAACCTTCTCGTTCCATCATTAAAATGACTCACAAGGAAGTTTTTTAACCAATCAAAGGTTGGCCGCGATGAGAGATGATCCGTTGGTTGCTGGTGGCCCAGTGTGAAGATTGCGGGACTTTGAGCCTGACTCGCCTTTGGAATGCCATTTCTGTCACGTCTGCACAATACGCAAAGCTACTGGAAATGCAATTGGATACAAGCCGCTCGCTCGTCCCTACAGGCCGCGTACTCACAGCCGCTCGACGATGGACTCAGCAGGCCGCGTACCTAAATACAAATGAGTAGGTCATCTTCATAGAAACGCACGGGCCGCGCCAACACGTATGCGGCGCGCACGCACACACTGACAAAATTTAGCGGGGATTAGCGGGGAGCCAGTCATGGTTGCGCGCCGCATACGTATTGGCGCGCTCACATAAAAACCGCGCTCGATGCGTTTCTATGAAGATGACCTACTCATTTGTATTTACTCTGCGCGTACTCACAGCCGCTCGACGATAGGCTCGTGGAGTCGGACCAGCTTGGCCAGCAGAGTGCGTGCGCGCGTAGGCAGCTTGCTCAAGCGCAGGCGCCACCCATTCTTCCTACAGGACTTCGGTGGAGGCGCCCCCGGTCACGTGGTACTTCAGCAGGCCGCGTACTCACAGCCGCTCGACGACGGGCTCGTGGAGACGGAGCAGCTTGGCCAGCAGCGCTTCAAGCGCGGACAGCGCGGCGCACCTCACTGCTATTCCCCGCTCACATACAAACCGCGCTCGGTGCGTTTCTGTGAAGATGACCTACTCATTTGTATTTACTCTGTTAGCGGGGAGCCAGTCGTGGTTGCGCCGAATTTTGTCAGTGTGTGCGTGCGGGCCGCATACGTTTATTAGCGAGCTCACATACAAACCGCGCTCGGTGCGTGTCTATGAAGATGACTTACTCATTTGTATTTACTCTGGTGCGTGTCTATGAAGATGACCTACTCATTCTTCCTACAGGACTTCGGTGGAGGCGCCCCCGGTCACGTGATACTTCAGCAGGCCGCGTACTCACAGCCGCTCGACGACGGGCTCGTAGAGACGGAGCAGCTTGGCCAGCAGCGCTTCGAGCGCGGACAGCGCGGCGGAGTGGGTCCGCGAGTAGGCCGCGTGCCCGAGCGCAGGCAACGGAGGCGCTGTCCGAAGGAGACCTGGACTTCGTGCTGTTGTATTTACTTTTGTTGTTACTCTGTAAATGCAACAGCAAGAAGTCCAGGTCTCCTGTATTTACTCTGCGCGTACTCACAGCCGCTCGACGATGGGCTCGTGGAGACGGAGCAGCTTGGCCAGCAGCGCTTCGAGCGCGGACAGCGCGGCGGAGTGGGTCCGCGCATAGGCCGCGTGCTTAAGCGCAGGCGCCACCCATTCGTCGTACAGCACCGAGGTGGAGGCGTCTGACACGTGGTACTTCAACAGGTCGCGTACCAGAGTAAATACAAATGAGTAGGTCATCTTCATAGAAACGCACGGGCCGCGCCAACACACACACACTTCACCGCTAATCCCCGCTAAATTTTATCAATGTGTGCGTGCGCGCTGCATACGTATTGGCGCGCGCTCACATACAAACCGCGCTCGGTGCGTTTCTATGAAGATGACCTACTCATTTGTATTTACTCTGCGCGTACTCACAGCCGCTCGACGATGGGCTCGTGGAGGCGGACGAGCTTAGCCAGCAGAGTGCGTGCGAGAGTAGGCAGCTTGCTCAAGCGCAGGCGCCACCCATTCTTGGTACAGAACTTCAGTGGACGCCACCCCAGACACCTGATACTTCAGCAGGTCACGTACCAGGTCATCTTCATAGAAACGCACGGGCCGCGCCAACACGGGCGCGCACGCACACACTGACAAAATTTAGCGGGGAGCCAGTCATGGTTGCGCGCCGCATACGTATTGGCGCGCTCACATACAAACCGCGCTCGGTGCGTTTCTATGAAGATGACCTACTCATTTGTATTTACTCTGCGCGTACTTACAGCCGCTCGACGATGGGCTCGTGCAGACGGAGCAGCTTGGCCAGCAGCGCTTCGAGCGCGGACAGCGCGGCGGAGTGAGTCCAGGCATAGGCCACGTGCTTAAGCGCAGGCGCCACCCATTCTTCCTACAGGACTTCGGTGGAGGCGTGATACTTCAATCGTGTACTCACAGCCGCTCGACGATGGGCTCGTGGAGGCGGAGCAGCTTGGCCAGCAGCGCTTCGAGCGCGGACAGCGCGGCGGAGTGGGTCCGCGCGTAGGCCGCGTGTTCCAACGCCGGCGCCACCCACTCGTCGTACAGCACCGAGGTGGAGGCACCCACGGACCGTTTTAGGCGCGATTGGTCCAATTCGCAACTGGGCCAATCGTGAAAAATTCACAAATTCGCGATTAGTCCAATTCGCGATTGGTCCAATACGCTATTGGTCCAATTCGCTATTGGGTCAATTCGCTATTGGTCCAATTCGTAATTGGACCAATTCGCTTTTTTTCTGAATAATAGTAAAAGTTGAATAACCTACTTATTTCTTTCATTTTGGATATCCTTTTAATTTGGACCAATTATGAATTGGACCAATAGCGAATTGGCCCAATGACACGTGGTACTTCAGCAAGTCACGTACTCACAGCCGCTCGACGATGGACTCGTGGAGGCGGACGAGCTTAGCCAGCAGAGTGCGTGCGCGCGTAGGCAGCTTGCTCAAGCGCAGGCGCCACCCATTCTTCCTACAGGACTTCGGTGGAGGCGCCCCCGGTCACGTGATACTTCAGCAGGTCGCGTACCAGAGTAAATACAAATGAGTAGGTCATTTTCATAGAAACGCACGGGCGCGGTTTGTTCTATGAAGATGACCTACTCATTTGTATTTACTCTGTTAGTGGGGAGCCAGTGGTGGTTGCGCCGAATTTTGTCAGTGTGTGCGTGCGCGCCGCATACGTATTGGCGCGCTCGCATACAAACCACGCTCGGTGCGTTTCTATGAAGATGACCTACTCATTTGTATTTACTCTGCGCGTACTCACAGCCGCTCGACGATAGGCTCGTGGAGGCGGACGAGCTTAGCCAGCAGAGTGCGTGCGCGCGTAGGCAGCTTGCTCAAGCGCAGGCGCCACCCATTCTTCCTACAGGACTTCGGTGGACGCGTCTGACACGTGGTACTTCAGCAGAGGGCTGAGTGTGTTTTTTTCAAACGCGCTCACTAGTGAGCTCGTCAAAAAATGACATTAAATGTATGACGGACTTTACAGCGGGAAACTAAAGCCTGGTCCGTGAGCACGTAGAATCCCGTCCAATGACCCCAAGCTACCCATCCCTATCGCTCGCGCGTAATTATGTTGCTGTCGCGACTGTGCGACGCGCGCCCGCAGTGAGTGTGCTCATGGACCAGGCTATATCAAAAACTAAAATTTTCATACAAGTGAGCGCGTTTGTTGTAAACTCACACTCAGCCCACAAGTGGCGTACTCACAGGCGCTCGACGATGGGCTCGTGGAGGCGGAGCAGCTTGGCCAGCAGCGCTTCGAGCGCGGACAGCGCGGCGGAGTGGGTCCGCGCATAGGCCGCGTGCTTCACCCACTCGTCTTACAGCACCTCGGTGGAGGCACCCACGGACCGTTTAGGCGCGATTGGTCCAATTCGCAACTGGGCCAATCGTGAAAAATTCACAAATTCGCGATTAGTCCAATTCGCGATTGGTCCAATTCGCTATTGGTCCAATTCGTAATTGGACCAATTCGCTTTTTTCTGAATAATAGTAAATGTTGAATAACCTCCTTATTTCTTTCATTTTGGATATCCTTTTATTTTGGACCAATTATGAATTGGACCAATAGCGAATTGGCCCAATGACACGTGGTACTTCAGCAGGCCGCGTACTCACAGCCGCTCGACGATGGGCTCGTGGAGTCGGAGCAGCTTGGCCAGCAGCGCTTCGAGCGCGGACAGCGCGGCGGAGTGGGTCCGCGCGTAGGCCGCGTGCTCGAGCGCCGGCGCCACCCACTCGTCGTACAGCTCGTCGGTAGAGACGTCCCCAGACACGTGGTACTTCAGCAGCGTTTCTAGCGTCACGGTGGCCTGCGAACACAAAAGATACTTGAGATAGGCAGACTGATCAAATTCAAATAGTTTATTCAGTATACAGGGTGGAATTTTGAAATGCCACCTGGAGGGAAAGTACTTTTAATACTGTAGATAGAAAATTTTACTCAAAGAAAACATTCCTTTATTTTTCAATAGAAATAGAACTGCATTCAAAGATTTCCAAAAATTTGTATGACACACCCGGGAATCGAACCAACTAAAATTTGTTAAAAATTACACACTGTATTTTTATTGCATCGATCGTTAGGGTTAAGTTTATGGATGAAATCTCTCTAACAAACTTGATAAATTAAATGAAAGGAAAACCATGAAATCTTAAATTATTTACAGAAAATTGTATGGTATAGTAGTGAATTTTCGAAAAATTTTCAAAATTCTTTAAATGCAGTTCTCTTTGTTTTGAAAAACAAAGGAATGTTTTCTTTGAGTAATTTTCTATCTACAGTATTAAGAGTACTTTCCCTCCAGGTGGCATTATAAAATTCCACCCTGTATAGGCCCTTTCCAGGGCACTTATACATGTCCCAAATATAGCTTGCCCTACCACCACTTCGGAACAACGTATGGGCTGGTGCTGAGAAGAAGTGGCGGAAGAAACTCAGTCACTTTTGTCAGCCTCTTTTTCAATCACATTATGGTTCGGCCAAACTGACACGTTCAGTTTATGTCTGCGATACGAGACTATTCTGCTGCTGCAACTCCTGTGTAGCCAGGATCTACGGCTTAACCTTATAAAAACCCGACCAGTGTAGGTCATTTGTCCCGGGGAAAATTTCTTGGACCCGCAACGAAATTAATGAAAACATAGGAGGAGTCCGAAGTTGAGGTTCGACTTCCCTCCAGTGCATATCGGATGACAGGAGACAAAATAAGTAACCTTCAAGAAAATATCTGACGTCTACGATAGCGCACATGGTTACTTAGCTGAAGCAGGCCTGTTCCTCTCCGCGAGTTTACATCGAAAACAAAACACGCACGATGGCCCACCTACAGGATACTATTCGACAAGGCCTCACATACGAGCGAACATTGACTCACGCACGCGTATTCTTGTGTATGATGGAAGAAAATAAAGAAAATGGTGTACTAAATACTGTGCAGTATTTAACTGCCTAAATAATAATAAAAACACAGAATGTACTTTTTTAAGTTGCCTCAAGACACTGAGAGGTAAATAAGTAGTTAATATTATTCATGAAAATTCATGCTAAATCATGTATTTCCTCTGCAATTTTACGCAGTTTGGCACCTCACGTCACATCATTTTACCGAAGTCAGCCCTATAGCTTCGGCGCAGTGCCGATCACTGACGTTTGTCAACAAAATGGTGCTTGACTCTTGAGACAGGCTAAATTACACCATATTGTTAATGACATTGAGCATACATTTTTTTAAATACCTTCGCGAAGTAAAACTTCTGTACGTAGTACTTATTATTATTCTGTGGCTGAAGCTTGAAAATAGTGACGTTATAACATCTGTTCAGCCTGGTTAGGATGCGCGCCGTGATATATTTTATCGACGTCAAAATGTATGAGCAAAAAAGATGAAATGGCGTGATTCTATATCAAAGTGGAGGGGTCTCCATACAAATCATTGCACTAAATTCCCTACTATGACAACGCCACTCTTGTAAAGCCTGGTCCGTGAGCACGTAGAATTTTGTCCAATGTCCCCAAGCTACCCATCCTTATCACTCGCGCGTAATTATGTTGCTGTCGCGCTCGCACACTCACTGCGGGCGCCCGTCGCACAGTTGCGACAGCAATATAATTACACGCGAGCGATAAGGATGAGTAGCTTGGGGTCATTGGACAAAATAAATTCTACGTGCTCACGGACCAGGCTTTAGCAGAGTTTTGGACTGACACTGTGTAGGTTTGTTGTTGACACAACAAGAAAAAGCTAGCACAGGTGGCGTGGCATACTCACGCTAGACTGCACGTCCTTGACGGTGAGCGCGCCGATGACGTCACGGATGACGTCGGGCATGCGGGCCAGCAGACGCGCCGTGCCCAGCCCCTGCGCCAGCGACGACAGGATGACGTAATGGCTCTTGCTCGCCTTGTTGAAGTTCGACACCGAGCAGAACAGCTTGTCCAGCGCTACGATGTTGCCTGCGAGATGTTATAATTGTTAAAGACACAATATTTATAGTATAGGGGGAATGGTAACGTCACAAAGCTGCCACAGTATACGCGTCCCGCGTCTGTTCAGACTCGCAGCATTGGATGGGAGAGTATGTTTGCAACGCTCTACTGCCAGTAGCGCCAGCACTAGCGTCCTATCCGTCACCGTGTCTGGCATCTCGCCGTATTCACGCTTCAGCACAATGTCCACTCACCCATCCGTGTGCACTTGTGCAGTTTTGGGTTTACCATCGGACGTGTCCCCGGGTTACGGATATGGATTGGTGAACGCCCCCAGTCACTGGGGGTAGTGGTTTACCAGCGCGGAGAGAATCCAAGCGCGGCAGGTCTCGTCAACCCAGTAGGTTCACGAGCGCCAGCCGGAGCACCGTGTCATCTTGTCCAGCTTCTTGTGTCATCACGCCTCGAGTGTTCACTTACCCTGGCAGTCCAGTCGCGTGCAGTAGCCGACCATAGAAG